AAGTGAAAGTAACCGCTTTCCCAGATCGTGATCGGGAACCAGAGTTGAACTCAATGGCAAAGAGATGATTACGTTTCAGAATAACAAACAACCAGTTTGGGATGTGATTCGGCATAGACACACAGAGTACGGCCTCGGGATTATTTGGCTCCAGTTACCCCGGTTTTGTCGATGGACCCGCGTGCACGGATTGGACCCAGCCAGGTAGAAATAGATGTCCAGTGCTTCCCAACTTTTCAGCTCACACCTCATCTATACGACGAATTCATCATATAAGTGAATGCAATACCACTACTTATGCCACGTTTTCCTCAACCATTGTCGCTTATAATCCGATTTATGCATCTCGGTTGTCCATATGTGTACTTTAGGGTAAATTGCTCCTGGGAGAAAATAAGCCGGTGTCATGGGTATTCCGAATTACCGCAGACCACCGAGCGTGGGCAGCGGCAAGAACAGCGCAGATTGTGATCCAACTCGACTTCCATCGGTGATTGCCATAGACGGAGCGGAGACTAAGGTTTTCTGTCTAGCCAGGTTTTCAGCTGTCCATCGTGTCGACAGCGCCAGTTTGGGCAAGGAGACGGTACCAAGGGTAGCTTTGGTCAGGTTTTTATCAGATTTACGAAGTGTGATCAAATCATTGTAGTCACCGTCGTTATATTAGCGGCCGCATCCGTGTGATATTAAAACATCGGTTTCTGACCGCATCATTTGAGCTGTGATCCTTCCCCGTCGTACTCCCAGAATGATTCGTAAGCACCACCTACCAAAGATTTCTAATCGTCGTCAATCTGTCACCCTAAATACCCAGGTTTTGCGGCCATACAGCGGAGAAAACTTCTATTTTGTCTTTAGACTGATTTTATTTCTTCACCAGAAGGAATTTTTCAACTGTACACACGACTTTCTTGCAGCATCGACGCGCACTTGTACCTCGTCTTTAGCTTGGCCTCTGGGTAGTATGGTTGTGCCCAGATATTTAAGGCTTCCGACGGATTCGATCGACTCGCCTTTTAGTAGTAAAGCATCTTCGGCACATGTGTTCGGTATTGATCACTGTTGCTTGTCCCCCGTGGGAGAATGACTCTGTGTGTGTGTGTGTGTGTGTGTGTGTGTGTGTGCATGCCTACGAAATAAACGGCTTTTTAACAGATGGATTAAGGACAAGGGATAGTGTTTCATGCTGAATGCATAGTTCGTCGACTATGGGTAGTCGCTTTTCGTGCAGCATATCTTTTGGAATAAAACGCGTGTTCGCGTAAGCCTTGTGTCGTGTGTACATTTGTTCCCTGTCATCAGTCATCGAGATTTGTCTGTCATCTCCTGATCTGCCACGTTGATCGGTGAACCTGAGATGCTTTCACAAACGATCCACCGACACACGCACACACCTACCAATATTTTGGTTCTTGTCTCATCAGGTCCACTGACCATATACCAGTTCTTTGTGGCCAGTGATTCCGTATCTTCTACTGTGTACCGTTTAATGAAGTACGTTACAATAATCTATCTCTTTCTCTACATATGTAGACATGGTCCCGTTCTAGAATAATGTCTTTCAGTTAAGCCATTACTATGAAAAGGCTGACTATGACTTGTGATTGATGGCGTTTGCGTTGAATTTGCGTCTCCCCCCCACTATTGCTAGTAGTCCCCCAACACCCACCTATCCAATACTTTTTGTATTTCAGTGCTGGTTGGATCACAAGAAAGCTCTTCTGAAAGCATTGCGAGCATCCGGGCACGGTTCGTTGGAATTTGTCTTCAGTGTCAAGTACTATGTCCCCCATCCGAATCTGATTGTGGATGAGCACACGAGGTAAGATTTTTGCCCGCCAAAATGCTAGCCATGTTAATACCGAACCAACTCGCATACCACGCCCGCGTTTTCAATTCCTCTATATTTCTCTCCTCCGTTTTCAAACCAATGAGAGTTTCTTTCTTCCGGAACAGAGATTTCCGGTTGATCCACTGGGTGCGATAGTTGTCCAAAGCGATAGGTCGAACGGGGCGTAGTGGTAGAATAAACAGGTAGAGTTAGTACTCTGGTATATGTATGCAGTACACTCGAAGGTGCTTCCCTACCCCAATGTAGTGTTTGTTTCAGGTGATACGACATTTGCTTCTGTGTTTGTGTTGCTTGATATACTTGGCGCCTAGGTCTACATC